ATGTAAGGGGTGTGGGAAAACTATATGATATGCTAAAGCAGTTCAAACACTGGTTGGGGTTTGAAAACACTCTTGCCTCTCAGTTGCGAGATGGATGAGCAAACTGCTATGGATGTTGAGCCGGATCCTGAATCTAGTTCATGCAGAAAAAATATGATTAAGCCATCCTCCATGCATATCCATGGCCCTTGCGCGCCCAGGCCTCCAGTTCGCGCCTTGGAGGCTGGAACCTTGGAGGTTGTGGTTGGGTCAATGGTAAAAAGGTGGTGCTGGTAACCCTATGTCCAAAAATGACAGGTCAAGCGACTGCCGGCATGTGGTGAATGGACAGGTGGGTTCAAATTCCACAAGCCTTGGTTTCTACCTCAAAAGAACTGGATCCCACTTGAGATTCGATTGGAACTTTGGCAGCATTTGTAGGTCACCTTTATTATGATCAGCAAATAGAGACGGATCATGATTTTTGAATAGATAACATTGCCTAACTATTGGCCCTCTTGGCTCAGGTACCACCAAGGAAACCGAAGGCCGGTTCTAGATTGCCACCAAAGGGATCTCTGGTCACGAAGCCTGTTGTTATACAAGCCTTTGGAACCATCAGCCCAAGTCTCAGTGTCCCACGCTTTTTTAAGGTATGATCTCCTCACCTCAGCTGCCCAGGACTGTTTGGTGCTACGGTGCAGGCGAACCCCAAGTATCTCTCAACACGCGGCAAAGGTGACGATGTCTCAGTTTGTTCCACTCATGCAGAGTTGTGCAACCCATCATGCAAGGATAGATTTCTTGATGATACAATATGTTTTCAAACCATTTTTTGTAGTGGTTGTTACCTAAGGATTGCGCCAACCAAATCTATTGGTGGCAGAAGTTCACACAGCAGTGCACGCTGCACAATGTTCCCAAGGGCATACACTTGAGCCCAGCATTGGCTGAGCATTTGTCAGGCATGGGTATTGGGCTCATGCATGTCCAATCATTTCTGGTAAACAGACATTGAAAGCTTAACCGCCTGTTTCCTTTCAGCCCCGGACTCAAGGCCTGCCCACTGGCTGGACTTCCGCCAAACCTGGCAGTGTGCAGGAAAGCTTGGAGGTGCTGTATCCATGGTGTCGACTGCAGGAGACATGAATATATAATTTGGATTTTGGGTTTGGTAGGCAAGGTCACCAACTATGATCAGCTGATTGTTTATATGTTTTTTGTCAGGAGCCCAACCGACATAAAGTTGCTTCACTATTTTCTGGAGTCCTAGGACTTGATCTAGGATTACGACAGCCGGATGCCAAGTTAACCCAAACATGTGTCAAATTCGTTGGTTTTTCCGGCCCAACAAGGTTTGTGCAGGTGACAGCCTACGCGTGGCACTCATTCGATTTAGATGCATTTAGTATGGATTGCGTGCATGTCAATCAAGCAAGAAACATGTTGATTCTGTGTAGTTGATGCCCAGGTAGAAAAGTCACCGTATTGTCGCAAAGTGATTCAATGTCGGATGGATGATGGTCTGGCAGATTGTGGGCCCATCCATGAAGATATACAGACGGTCCATGCCACTCAACTTGGAGCAGACATCACTGGATGCCTTGCTGGGTTCCCTTGCCAGGCCTGGTCACATAGCTTCAGCTTTTCAACCGCCACCATGTTAAGCTTCTCCTCGTCAGGACATCAGCACAGCCGGGGCCCAAACATCCATGGATGGAAGTCGAACCGTTCTCATCAAGGAAGTTTTCCGACTATATGATGAAAAAAAAGCAACAGGTCGCCCACTGAAACTTGAACTAGCATCTATGACATGTCATTGCATGAACGATGTTTAATGAACATATGTGGCGGTGTATCACTTTGTACCAATTTATTTGTTCTATATGAATGTTGATCGCTGAAGGCCCCAGTTGATGAACCAAGGAAATTTTTGCTCCTTGAAAATGTTGGTTCCATACTCTCTGCAAAGTGCCGGGATTGCATGGATTACATCCAACAGGCGCGGTAGCTTCCCCAATCCTGACATTTGCGCCGGCCGTTGCTCTGGAGGCAGCTGCAGAACGAGGCCTTCGGCTGACATACTGCTCAGTCAATGGACACCAAGTCGGAGCCCCCGTCCGGATCCCATTAGGAATTGGGAGGTTGCCATCAAGTCAAACTGGATCACAATGGATGACTTTTTTGATTGTTTCTGGATTCAACTTCCGCTTAGATATGGCGTCAACGAGTGTTTATGCTGCTTGCGGATCCATCCTTCAATTTTTTCCAGGACTCGTAGCAATGTGTAGCAATTATTGGTACCAAGTCTTCAACTTTCAACATGACAATGAGTGAATTGGCATGGTTACCTCATGCCTTCCTAGCAATATGAGACACGGCTTCAGGACCACAAGATGATGTCGGCTGCTGAACTTCAGGCATGGCCCCAAGAAGTGTGGATGAAGGGACAGAAGAAAAAACCTGTTCATCAATGGCTCTTACAAAAAAGGGCCCTGGATTCCAAAGATAGGTTGTCAACATGTGGCAACATAGTGGTGCCATCAATGGCGTATTTTGGACTCCATTGCCTATACTCTATGTGGCGCTAAGCGTATGGCAATGCATGGGTCACAATTCAAGTGGTTTCGGTGGTATTGGTGGTCTTTGCACCATACCTGCTCACCGCTTGCTGCACCTTAAGTCTGCTGCGGACTCAACCTCAGCTTCAGGGATGGGAGTGAAAAGTGTGTGTTGGATGGCTGCTGGTTTAAACATGCTTCCAACTGGCCGTCATTAGGGATGGTTCGTGTTGTATCAGTTATGTGCGACTTCATTGAGCATCGTTTCACCAAGCCAATGACACACAAACACGGTTGCTTAGTTACGCACCCGCTGTTTTATATTTTCAGCATCAGAGGGCTTTTGACTTTTGATGGTCATCTGAAATCGGCCGGCCCGTCAAGTCGAAGTACCCCTGGCCTGTTTATCTTCTCAGCATCACTGACTTGAGTTTGTGAATTCAGTTTCTTTCATTTTGACGCCCTGATTTTCAAAAACAACTACAATCATTTTGCATTCAATAAAGGTGGTGGTTCAAGCATGGTCGCAACAAAATTGCCACACATCCGTCTCTTACCCTGTGATTTGTTGTTTCCAGAATTTCAAATGGTTATCAACAACACGTTAAAGGGTAATGTCATGTAATGTCCCATTGTTTTAGAATAACCCAGTGCAAGATACCATAGAGTAGAAATATCTCAAGGTCCCATTGGTTAGCTTATCTAATGAGATCCAAGTGTCACTACACATTGCCCAAGTTTCAGCTTAGCTATGGGATGGCTTTGAATCTACCCGGTGCAAGCTGTGAAGGACTGAAACATGAGCTACATAGCCTTGGTACCCACCAACAGCAGTGTCCCACTTCAATGAAGCTCTGCGCAGGATTCCTTTGGGGCCACCTTCACACTTCTATGTGCGAGGACTGTGCTCAGCAAATGAATATGTTCCTCTTATTGGAAGCCAATAGCAAGTTGGTAGCATCATACATGACCGGCATATCTGACATATTTTTGCTATCAAGAGTGAAAATAAAACAAGTTTGGAGAACATGTACAATGTGTCTCAAGTTCGAAATTGATCCAATGTTGAACCCTTCCAGGATGCCCTTGGCAGAGGTCTTTGACTTAAGTGGTGATGAGTCTGCTGCTGCCGCCCCTTCAAAAGCTTCGGGGCCCAAGCTGAAAACCAGGTCGAGTCTTCTGTTGCCTGGCAGAGATCGGATCAAAGCTACAGTCACCCGGTGTGGCCCCACAGACAATCCAAAGCACCTAGCCAACTTGATTCGAAGGAACTGTGGATGTAAGGCTGATTGTTTTTCAGCATTCCGCTGGCACCAGCATCGAATGGAAGAATGGCTAAAACTCAGAAATCTTTTGTCCAAAATGGAGAAGTTGGAGAAAGATCGCTATGTCAGGGTCTTACACGTTTTTTGGTGTCCATTGTAAAACCGAATTGAACTTCATTGGAACTCATATGTTAACATTTGGAATCTTCACCCTTTCCCCCTGAACCGAACTAAGGTCTTCAAGCTTTTGAAAGATCAAGAAGAAGTACCCAGCAGAGGTTTGAGGCACATCAAGCTGCTGGGGGGCCGCGTTTGCAACAAGGGGTTCATGAAGTTGGTCGGGATCGGAAAGTATAGATTCAACACCCTAAGTACAGCAGCACGTAGAGGTGAAGAACATTGTCCCTTTGACGGTCGATATGTGATCCGTGGGCCACAGCCATCATCAACCAAGAGGGAGAAGGTCCACAATTTCCTCATGCAACTTTATATGACAGCAGCAGAACCGATACCGGACGGTCTCAACTCCAACAAGCGCCCCCGGCATGGAAGTAAGAAGCTTGACTCTCCCACACTTGATCGGAGTCAAATGAAACACCTGCCACACGGATCTATCACAGAGTATTGGAGCCAATGTGTTGCGGCTAATCCTGGACTCCACATCAGCCGGAAACTCTTTTGCTCCGACACTTGATTAATAATTGGTTATTTTTTTGTTCATGGGCTTTGTTTTTATCTTTTTTGGGGGTGAACTGGGAGAATCCTCGAAACCATCAACTATAAACAGCAGGGATTTGAACCGTGTTTTGGAACAGTAACTGAGGTTTGGCAGAGTGACTTTGAGCATTTATTGCGTGTGAGATTTCACAGTCACCACGCAAAATGTTCTTTGTGCGTGAAACATCGACTATTGATCAAAAAATTGGGGCATTGTGAGGCTGCTTGTCGTGCCCAGAGGTCCATGCTTCAGAGGCATCTTGAGAGACAACATAGAGATCGACAGGTCTACTATGCAGCACGTGCAAGGTCCAGGCTAGCAGCTACAACATTGGGTCAACTGGAAATCACAGTCATACTAGACTCTATGGATGCGGCAAAGCATGCATGGCCGCGGAGCCGTTCTATGAATAGCAAGGTGTTTTCCAGTTTCAACCGCCCCCGACTCACAAGCACTAGCTTGTTGGTGCATGGCCACATGGTCCTTCTAGCCCTTAGCCCGAGCCTGGTCACCTCTGGCAGCTCCAGGACATGTGAGATCTTGTCGGCCGGCCTCAGCAAGCTGGCGGCCAAGATTGATTTCAGGTCAGTTTGGCTTAACCTCCAGGCAGACAACTCTTCGAAAGAGGTTAAGAATGTTGGAGCCCTTCGCTTGGTGGGGTTGTGGATTTGTCTTCGCAAACTGGGGGGTGCTCAGATCTCATTCTTGAGTTCTGGGCACTCCCACGAAGACATAGATGCTATGTTTAGTGTCATCAGGGCTCATCTGGAAAGAAATCATGAACTACCAACACCATTGGCCTTCCGTGATTGCCTTCGGTCTTTTTTTGATGACCCTCACCATCGTCCCCACGAACGGTTGCGGTGTGTTGAACTGTTGTCTCGGTACAAGGATTGGATACTGAGCTCAATATTATCAACATTTTGTCAGCACATTTCCCATAGATGGTTCTTGTTTATATCTTAGACCCATCAAATTCGATCCCATAAAATAAAATCAACTTGCTACCCATCAACTTGTCCTAAGGACCAACTGGACATCGTACCTCTTTGATCACATGAGGCTCAAAGGCATTGGTGGGCCCGGGGCACCCCACTGCATACAATTGGAACGACTCGAATCCTCAGGAGTGCAAAGTGCAAAGTGATTCAAACATGTTCAACATTTATGTGAACTGCTTGGGTCATTAACATCATGTTGTTCATACAATATCAGTATCATGCATTGATTTTCTGGCAGGAGTGGCAAGAGATACTTTGGATTCCCGATTCTGGGACAAACGGGGGTATACACCGAGCCCTTCAGATGTCATCTTGAGGACCACTTTTGAAACCATGTCCATGGTCAGTGAGAACCATGTTCCCATAGGAATTGAATTGACACCGTGAATCCAAAGACCCTTCAACCCTTTTGTCACTGCCACCCGCACCAGGACCAAACAGTGGATGAGCGATGGAACTTGGCAGCCCACCACCTTCTTGTTTTTGCCAGCCTCAGTGGCAAGAGCTGCCCAAGGTGATGGACCCCCAGGCACTTGGTTTCCATGTTGGTTGGTTCCGGTTGGCCGGTTGATATCTATAATCCATGGTTCTGTTCCGCATGAATGTGATCAGTCATCAAATTATGCACCGCAGTCTTTACCGAGACGCCCGTGAACCCTCTGTCAAACGAGAACAAGGCGTTGCGTAAGTATGCCCAGCTGATGCGTACTCACCTCAGACCTTTCTAAAGTGAATATATTGATCACAAGTCAAGTCATGAGATGTGTAACCTTCCATCTTTAATGTTGGGACCTTGAGGTCGAGACCCTTTTGACATGATCGATGCAGCCCAACAGCTGGAGGAATTGTCTTATGGATTTTTGGATCCTACCTTGCTGGACACCAGCTGGTGCGGGGTTACAAAAAACTTTGATGATATTTGATGATTGTTTTATTATACCGATGAGCATTGTTGTTTCACCAACTACCCAATGCCAACTTCACCCGCTGTTTGAGGGCTCTACCACAACACGGTGCAGCAGCCGTGGGCCGTTCCGCCCTGCCAACGGTGCGGGGGAGGTGCTTCGAAGCCGTCCCAAACTAAGTTTAAACATGTGTGGTTGTTGTTGGCCATGCTGATTCCATATTATTTCAAACATCTAGCATTGTGTATTATTCATCATTATTCTATGTTGTGAGGTGCCAAACCACCTTCAATTGGCACGAGAACGACCATCCAATGATGAAGCCAGAAGGTACAGACAGGCACGTAGTCAGCAGGCACTTTACAGAGCTGCAGCTCAGCTGTGGAGACATGGGGTTAACATCGCCCATGCAATTGAGATTGTCACCGAAGCTGTGCAGGAATCCATGCATCAATAGCTTGCAGGGGAGGGCAAAAGCTTCGGGCCCCAATGGATGAAAATTTGAATCATAACATTCCCCATTTACAAGAGTTACATTTACTAGACAATACCAAAAAAAAATCCGTCAATATTTGTTGGCTTCACATTGGGGTCCATTGATGCATCTTGATTCCCGAACTTGGCTTTCCTTGGGTTCCATGATGGAACCCATTGTCGAAGCACCCGTGTGAACCATGGGGTGGAAAAGGTTCGTTTTGTGCATGCAAGATTTTTCACAACAAGCCTACCCTGTGGAATCAACCATTTTGTGAATTATCGGGTCGTTATAATTCACAAAATCCCAGTGTTCTTTTGGTATTCTTGGTTTTTAAAACTTTGACCATGTCATCACCTGTGCCCCGATAGATACCCCAGGGATTTTGTGAATTATCGGGTCGTTATAATTCACAAAATCGAGCCATCCCCCAATGATGCAGATTGTGAATAAATCTCTGTTCAGAAAACATACACAACAGGATAATATTTGATTTGGTTTCATTCACAATTTCTGTATTATTTGTCAACACCATCATCAACAGCTTTGCTCCATGCCAGGTGATGCCCAAGAGGCCTAGTGGTGGTGGGCAGCCCAAGCAGAAGCCTGCGAAGAAATCCAAGGGCAGCAGTCCGATAGTTTGCAATTGCCTCACATCCGTCTCTTTGACACATGGGTGTAACTTAACCGCACCATAAATTGATATAAAGTGATTTGTTTGGACGAATGCGAGCGTTGATAATCATGAATTAGTCGGCAACCTAACCGTTATTTTGCTAAGGAATGACAATCTGGTGCAATCCAAGAAGACCCTAGATGTTTTCCTGACAGACAGGCTGGCAAACGAGGTGTGGTCCTGAAATAAACCATGTTGTCAAAGTCTGTTGTGTATGTGATATTATTCTGATTCACAATTTTTTATCATCCAACAATGCAGGAGCATGCGACGAAGTTCTATACGTGGATTGGTTCCGAATTTCCTCCAGCTCATGGTACGTCTGGCCCTTGTGGATCTCATGATATTCCAATGTCACCCCTATTTGATACCCTTCTTACATCGTTTTACCACATGCCACACCCAGGACCTATGCCACAGAGGCGGACCTGCTGCAGGAAGGGAACTCCTTGCACCTGCGGCCGTTTCAGCTTCCATTCCGGATAGACTATGGCTTGCGGGGCGCTAGCGACGCAGAACCTTCTTTTGAATTAATATGAATTAATTATATATTGCAATCTTTGAATCGATGTCAAACCACCAAACATCATCGACCAGTCTGATTGAACCGATGCTTCCAATTCATGTTGACATGGCATTGCCAACTAAGGAAGATCAGCATGCCTTGTGCCAATTGATTCTGTTGAATGGCTTCCAAACAGATCCCAATCGACCAGGAGTTGAAAAATTGGTTGGATGTGCTGTCCAATCCCAATGGCTCTACACCCCCGCATCGAAGATTACCAGTGCAGATCTGTCGGAGCCCACACTTGCATCACCAGGAAAACTTTTCCTTGTCAAAGGTTGGAACAGGTGCCTTTGTGCTTTGGGCATTCTCTACTGTTGCTATGACACGGGCCTTCTGCTCCAGGAGGGGTTACCATACAACACAAACAAACCCCCGATTGCTGATTATATGTTGGTTGTCTGATGTTCACTGGTGTCCCTGAGAGGAGCTACCCCCGGAAGTGAAGACGTACCATGGATCAAATTGGATAAAATTGATGATAGAAGGGTGCTTTTCCCACCACCCATTATCATTATGGAGTTTTATGTTTTGAGGTCAGCACCGTGTATGCCACGGTTGTCAAGTCTGACAGCAACTTGGTGGTGAACACCAATCGTGGTGACCAAGCTGCAAGTAAGTTGAGTAGTGAGGTGATGATACCAAATCATGGAATTGAAATAATCAACAAAATTCCTTTTCATGCGTCAGGGGTGACGCTTGGTGGGTCCCTTCGGAGACGTCCCAATGCATTCAATCTACTTCACCAACTTGAGTTCTTGGAGCGTTCGGGCATGACCCAAGAGATGTCGGTGAAATCTCTCGAGGCTGGATGTTATCATATGTTTTTATTATACCCGTCATTACCCACCTGCGTTGAATTTGTTTGAACTTGGGGTATTTTTCCCTTACCTGATTAGTTATCATGTTTGGGGTACCCCTGTGCCAGGCACATGAAAGTGTTTCAGCGTTTGCACAAGCGTGCAGTTTGGGGGAGAAAGAGTCAGCCGCAGCAGTCAACCTGTTGAAACACATCCCCACGAACATCAAGGAAGCTCTCACTGAGCTGGTTCGGATCCTCGGTTTAATTTATCCTGGAACATATGATTCTCTACTCTTTCAACAGTTTTACCATGATGTCATGACCAATAAACATATTTTACCACAGTTTTTCTGTTTGGTGTCATTACCCACATGCTCAAAGGTTATAGTACTAATTGCATTCCCCGACTGAGAGAAAACAATTGATATCGTGTCAATTATTGTCAATTAAATGAGATCTGTTCTTGACCCCTGTAGGGTTCACGCCCAAGCGAAGTTCGTGAACCACGACGGGATCGCAGAAGGATTGCTGAATGCAGACTACTGCAGTGCGACCGGCTTTCTTCTACCATGGAGGCAACATCTCACAAACACCCCAGCTGTGTTGGATGATATGATCCGCCGAATGGAGGTTGATTGGGTTGCTACCCAGCCGAAATCCCGAAAACCATGGAATGTGAAGGACTTGGAATCTTGTTTTGGTTTTCATTATTGTTTTATTTAAATCTGGTTTGCTACTTTGCACCTTGTTTGTTTGCCTGATGCCTCAAAACAGCTTTTCTAAACAGCTTCTTTTCGACTTGCTAAGACCCAGCTACAGCGAGTATGTGGAGGATTCAACGCATGCTTGGATCGGTTTCTGACATTGGTTCCTCAGAAGTTTGCCACTTTGGCGTTGGTGGAAATCCACAAATCGCTGCTGGTCAGAAACACATTGAACATACGTTTTTTTTACTATTTTGTGTCTGAACCATACCGCCTTCCCCGGTTCGGCCCACCTCAGGTTTGAGCTTCGGCATGCTGACTCGGACATCCTGCAGATGCTGGAAACTTCGGTCCCCCCAGCAGATGTGGAACGGGTGAGTATCTTCTTGCAGCCATTGAAGAAGTACCAATCCGAGGATTGGTGGGTGATCAAAAAAACATGTTTATATAATTTTATATAATTTTATATAATAATATAATAATAGATAGTCCTGTCCTGCACTATTCATATGCAATGTGTATGTCTATGTAGTGTTGAACAATTCTGTTGAGAAACTAATGTACATGTTTGTGCTAGTACACCCGTGGTTCTTTCTCTGAATTTTTGTTGCTTCATTTTTTAAATAACTTCATCTTGTTAGGAATCAACCAATTTGCCACACTCACCAGGTGGAGAAGCAAACCAATCTGCGAGCTGAGCAGCTTCTTGTCCGCACTGGTAGAATTATGGATCCCTCAAATTTTGATCGCTGACAATATGGGAATTGTGGATCCCTCAAATTTTGATTGGTGATAATTTGGGGAATTATGGATCCCTCAAATTTTGGTTGATGACAATATGGCTGCTGCTGGCTGGGATCCTTGTACAAAATGTAGAAACTAGGAATTCCTGGATTCCTAGTTTCTACATTTTCTACAAGGATTCTGCGGCTCCTCCTGGGCTGCTCCTGGCTGCTGCTGGGTCCTGGCTTGCTCCTGGGCTGCTCCTGGCTTGCTGCTTGGCTGCTCCTGGCTTGCTTGGCTGCTGCTGGCTGGAATCCTTGTACAAAATGTAGAAACTAGGAATTCCTGGATTCCTAGTGTCTACATTTTGTAGAAACTAGGAATTCCTGGATTCCTAGTGTCTACATTTTGTACAAGGATTCTGCTGCTTAGCTGCTCCTGGGCTGCTCCTGGGCTGCTTGGCTGCTTGTCTGGCTGCTTCTGGGCTGCTTCTGGGCTGCTCCTGGCTCCTTCTGGGCTGCTGCTGGGCTGCTGCTGGGCTGCTCCTGGCTTGCTCCTGGGCTGCTGCTGCTGCTGCTAAGCTGCTCCTGGGCTGCTCCTGGGCTGCTCCTGGGCTGACAGGTGAGACGAAGGTTGCTAAGGTCACCAAGACAAAGACCACTGCCAAGAAGGACACAAAGTCAGCTGCTGCTGCCCCTACTGAGGATTCACGAAGGAATGTTTGTGCACTCCATGCTGCTGGGCACTGCAGATTTGGAACAAGATGTAGAAACACACACATCGGTGAGGCCGGGTCTGATGAGGCCAGACGGGCATACTCAGAAGCCCAGAAAGGAAAGGCAAAGGGTCAAGAGAAGGGGTCAAAGGGAGATGGCAAAGGTAAGAAGGGTAAGAAGGGAGACTCTAAGGCTTCGAAAGGTGGCACTGGAACTCCGGCAGCTGTTGCTGCGGCGGCATCCACCGTTACGATCACTGAGGTCGAAGGGAAACAAGCCCAAAAGACATGGCAATCCTTTTGCAAGTTCTGTGACAAAGCCCTTCCTTCTTTGAATACCTTCTTGAAGCTATCGGTTCCCATTTTGGCTACTTTGATCTCATCAATTACCAATTCTTACGAAATGATTGGGGAGAAAGCAGCGGCTTCTATGGTTGATCCTGCAGTGCAAAATTTCAAGAAGTACTCCTTAGAGTTTCTTGGAGACACAGGTGCAGCCCACGACATTGGCAGTTTGCGGGCATTGCAAGACCAAGGATTGTCTAAGGACATGGTTGTGCCTTGGATGAAAGCACTGAAGAGCCCTGTGAGGTTCGCCACAGGAGGAGGGCCGCAGCTGTCTACTGAGGAACTTCGTGTGTACACCAAGGAACTGGGTGACTTTCACATCCATCTCCTTGAGAGCTGCCCCATGGCCTTATCAATAGGGCGTCAAGTCAGCCGTGGACGCACTTTCATATGGCAGCACGGTCAAAAGCCGTACATTGCCTTAGATCACCGTCGTTGTCGTGTGTGGTGTCCTTCTGAAAACAGGTGGTACGCCAACAGGGTCCAAAACAACGTCCCGATCTTTTCTGTTGATTGTCCGTTGAAACCTGGAAGAGTCATCAGGGATAGTGCTGCTTGCGTTCAGCTAGATCAGCCAGCGACATGCGCAAACATGACCACTGAAGATTCCAATTCTCAATTTTGTGGATCGCGTTTGGAAAGACAATATGCATGCGTATGTCATGACACTACTGTGGAACATACTGAACCAATGAAAGACTGCACTGAAGATCCATTGTGTCTCGCGCCAATGCGCGATCATGAGCATGATGAAGATGTCCCACAAGTTGACGCAGTAGAGTTGCCAGCTCATCCAATGGTTTCGGATACTGAGCAACGTCGGAGAAAACACAGGAAGGAGAATCGACGGAGGAAGTGGGAGAAGTTGAAGAGGCAGAAGCCAGAGGCTCCAGTCCGCAAACCCATCATCAGGGGGGTTGAAGCCGTAGAAACTATGATGAATGGACTCTAACAATTTTACAACGATAGATCTAGACAACATGATGAGCAAACATCCGAACTTTACCAATCCATCTCGCATAGCATTGCCAAGGAGTTCAATGACTTCAGCGAGAGCACTGCTGAGATGGCGGTTCCAGAACCACATCACCCAGGACTTCCAGGACACGGGACTTTGATCGAGTTCTGTACTTCTTCAGATTCCATGATGGAAAGAGTTGGAAAAGATCTTGGGATTCATGTCATAAGATGTTCTGAGAATCATTTGAATGTCGAAAGTGATGAAACGATCAAAGTCCTTGACGGCATCATCGAAACCAAACCTGGTGCCGACCTTTGGGGTTCATTACCATGTGGGCCTTGGACTCAGTGGCAGACGCTCAACGTGCATTTGTATGGTGATGACTTCGCCAGCAGATTGTCCGAGAAGTGTAAGGTGTCAAGAAGGTTGGTTAAACGGTTTTGTCGTTTGGCTCGCGCTGTAGCGCGAAAGGGAGGTCGAGTCACATTCGAATGGCCTCGACACTGTGTTGGTTGGGCATTGCAAGAACTCCAGAAACTTATTCGGGATCTCAACATGATGATTGTGGATTTTGATGGGTGCCAAATTGGATTGACTGACTCAAAGGGTGATCTTCATTTGAAGAGGTGGAGGTTGATTACTACATGCAACCGTACTGCTAGGATCTTTTCAACGTTGAGATGCAATCATCCAGCTGATTTCCAACATGCCCCCATTTCAGGATCAAGAACACGCCTCACTGGTTTCTACCCCAAGGAGATGTGTGAGTATGTAATGCATGCGATGTATCCTGATATCATCTCACGACATGTCCCAGCCATGCCAGTCACACAAGTGATAGAGCAAACAGTTGAACACCGGGAGCGTGAGCCTGAAGAGGGACGAGATGGTGGTGTCTTCATTTACGATTCAGTCGACCCCCTTGCAGCAGCCGCAGCTGAGGGCCTGGATGAACCTGCCGATGATGAGGCTGAGGACAGGGAATCCAGGGATGATAGACTGAAGAGGGAGGCAACATCATTAGAACACATCACATTGCACGCCAAGAAGAATCCATTTTGCCCACACTGCCAAAGAGGTCGAATGATCAAACGATATGCTCATAGACATAGACCCGAACCTGAGGACGAAGAGGTTGTGTACAGTATTGCAAAGGAGTTTGGAAGCATCATTGAGGCTGACCACATTTTTCCAGCGGTTGAGTCTAGGGGGCTTGGTGGTGAACAGTCCGCCCTCTTAGTGCGTGACAGATACTCTGGAATGTGTTTGACATACCCTCAACGAACACGCAATGAAGATAGCAACTATGATGCGTTGAAACATTTTGGTGGCAACAAGTTGAACGGTAACCCAGATGTTGTATTCCACCCCGACACAGCCCAGGAATTGACCAATGCTGCATCAAGACTGGGATGGGTGGCTGATCCATCAGCCGCCAATCACTGCATTTTGTACAAGGATTCTGCTGCTTAGCTGCTCCTGGGCTGCTCCTGGGCTGCTCCTGGGCTGCTCCTGGGCTGCTTGGCTGCTTGGCTGCTTGTCTTGCTGCTTCTGGGGCTGCTCCTGGGCTGCTCCTGGCTTCTAGCTTGCTCCTGGGCTGCTGCTGGCTTGCTCCTGGCTTGCTCCTGGGCTGCTTGGCTACTCCTGGCTTGCTTGGCTGCTGCTGGCTGGTGTCCTTGTCCAAAATGTAGAAACTAGGAATTCCTGGATTCCTAGTTTCTACATTTTCTACAAGGATTCTGCGGCTCCTCCTGGGCTGCTCCTGGCTGCTGCTGGGCTGCTCCTGGCTTGCTCCTGGCTTGCTCCTGGGCTGCTCCTGGCTTGCTGCTTGGCTGCTCCTGGCTTGCTTGGCTGCTGCTGGCTGGAATCCTTGTACAAAATGTAGAAACTAGGAATTCCTGGATTCCTAGTTTCTACATTTTGTACAAGGATTCTGCTGCTTAGCTGCTCCTGGGCTGCTCCTGGGCTGCTTGGCTGCTTGTCTGGCTGCTTCTGGGCTGCTTCTGGGCTGCTCCTGGCTCCTTCTGGGCTGCTGCTGGGCTGCTGCTGGGCTGCTCCTGGCTTGCTCCTGGCTTGCTCCTGGGCTGCTGCTGCTGCTAAGCTGCTCCTTGGCTGCTCCTGGGCTGCTCCTGGGCTGCTCCTGGGCTGCTCCTGGGCTGCTTGGCTGCTTGGCTGCTTGTCTGGCTGCTTCTGGGCTGCTCCTGGGCTGCTCCTGGCTTGCTCCTGGGCTGCTGCTGGCTTCCTCCTTGCTTGCTCCTGGGCTGCTTGGCTGCTCCTGGCTTGCTTGGCTGCTGCTGGCTGGGATCCTTGTACAAAATGTAGAAACTAGGAATTCCTGGATTCCTAGTTTCTACGTTTTGTACAAGGATTCTGCTGCTAAGCTGCTCCTGGGCTGCTCCTGGGCTGCTCCTGGGCTGCTCCTGGGCTGCTTGGCTGCTTGGCTGCTTGGCTGCTTGGCTGCTTGTCTGGCTGCTTCTGGTGCTGCTCCTGGCTTCTGGCTTGCTCCTGGGCTGCTGCTGGCTTGCTCCTTGCTTGCTCCTGGGCTGCTTGGCTGCTCCTGGCTTGCTTGGCTGCTGCTGGCTGGGGTCCTTGTACAAAATGTAGAAACTAGGAATCCTGGAATTCCTAGTTTCTACATTTTGTACAAGGATTCTGCTGCTAAGCTGCTCCTGGGCTGCTCCTGGGCTGCTCGTGGGCTGCTCCTGGGCTGCTTGGCTGGCTGCTTCTGGGCTGCTCCTGGGCTGCTCCTGGCTTGCTCCTGGGCTGCTGCTGGCTTGCTCCTGGCTTGCTCCTGGGCTGCTTGGCTGCTCCTGGCTTGCTTGGCTGCTGCTGGCTGGGATCCTTGTACAAAATGTAGAAACTAGGAATTCCTGGATCCCTAGTTTCTACATTTTGTACAAGGATTCTGCTGCTTAGCTGCTTGTCTGGCTGCTTCTGGGCTGCTCCTGGGCTGCTCCTGGGCTGCTCCTGGCTTGCTCCTGGCTTGCTCCTGGGCTGCTCCTGGGC